TATGAATAAAATTAGGCAAGCGTGTTGAAGCACTGCATAATATTGCCGACATCAACCGTAACACCCGCTTTCTGTTGCCTATAATGCGGGTGTTTGCCTTTGCACAGGGCTTCCCAGCCGTACCTCGCTGCGCGCGACGGAGGCGGCTGGCACTTGGCGGCTAGCCCGCGGACAGAGGCTCCACTGGAATGAGCCTTGCACCTAGTGCAAATAAACAAAACCGAGCCATCAGAGCAGTCGAACGCAATCGTACGGTGCTCGAGGGCGTCCTGACTGGACGCGTGAAGCCGAGAAACCTGAGAACAGACACCTGGCAAGGGCCTGCTCTGCGAACGCTTGCCTCTGAGGCAATCAGCACAGCGCCACACTCCAGACCACATTTCCCAGCGATGCCCTGCGGTCGCAGCGGCAGCGGCATGCGGGGCAGGAATTCGCCCTACCTCGGAGAGGTCCAAGGCAGGCCACACATGCAAAACATGGGCCGCCAGCCTGATAGTCTGGCGTGCCTGCGTGACAAGCTTATCAGCAGCCTCTAGCTTGTCTGGACACGAAGGATGAAGATGCACTGCGTGCTTGGCTGCCGCGTCCGCATGATGGTTGCCGAGGCGCCTCCAGCGCTCAGCAGCGTCGATCCCCGCCTCATCCAGCTCCTTGTGAGCTGCGACTTTTGTGCACGTGGAATGCGAGATACCTTGGGCATATAGTTGGAGGAAAGCCCCAGCGTAGGCCCTCTTCCCACACAGCTGCTCGGCCTTGGGCCTACAGGCTAGATTGACCACATTGCTGCAATCGGAGAACACATCTATGCAGGCCGACGCGAGCACATTGGCCCAGATCCAGCAGCTGAACTCGGCCGACTGAGGCGTCTGAGGATATGGGGCCCAAACTGGGGCCCGAAACTCGGCGACGGCCGACCCTTGATCGTCGACCATCACCACACTGCAGCCAGCCCTGGAGAGCTCCCGAACAGAGTGACGGCTGCTAGACCCGTCGATGAAAACGCTACCCCAAACTTCAATGCCAGGCTTAGCCCCGGAGGGCGACGAGATATCTTGGTGGTGCCACACAAGAAACGGGCCATTGTCCGTCTCAGTGAGGGGCCTGGGGTACCCATCGGCGGGGTGGCGGAAAGCCCCAGAAATAAAAACGAACGCAGCTTCCTCGTCGTCCTTAGCTGCTAAGGCTTCGGCTACAGTACTAGCTTCAACTAGCGAGGATCTAAGCTCAGCCACTGGCTCGTGGGGGCACTCCCACAACCTGTGGAAGATCGTGTCCGAGGCGCCACAGAACGGGCATCTGCCGTCCACGAGGTAACCTAAGCTCACAGCACGATCTCCAGTGAAAAAGGCTTCGGTGGCGAACGCTCTAATGTGGGCCTTCTGGAGGGCCGTGTATTTCTTGGAGGCCAGGGCCTCGCGCAGCACATCATAGCATATCCTGGGGAGCACTCCCCTCTTTTCGGCGGAGAGCCGTTCCAACATCCTAAAATAGCCGTCCTTGAGCAAAATCCTGAATAAGGCAGGCGAGATAATGCCGAGGGGAATCGAGAAGCCACGATCATCTCGCACCGTCATGAAGTTGTCCATGCACCAGCCCAGCCTAACCAGGGACATCCGAAGGGCCGACACAGGGCCCGCGACCGCTCTCCAGGAGCAGGCAGGGTTGGAGAACACAGCTTCCCACGCACGACGCAACGAGGGAAAACCCAAACCCCAAGCGTAGGCCCCAGTCTGGGCCAGCCAGATCTCCTTGGACCAACGGAGGATGGGGGCGGTGGCAGTGCGCCAGCACGGATCATAATCGAGCAAAGCCGCCGTCGTCAGGGATCTCAACTGAGATCGAGGTCGGGCCACCGAGAAAACTTGACGACGGAGGCGGAGCAACTCGAGGTCGCTGGTGCCAGTAATTTCCGCGCCATAAGAAGCCCCCGCGAGGGGCCCCGAGGAGAACACCCTAAGAACCTGCGGCCGAGAGATGACTTTAATCTGACGCTTTAATCTCTTGGCCGCCCTCACCGCCTTGGCGATGCGCATTTTGGACTTCACCGAGCGCCCCGCCACCCTGAGCGCGCGGCCAGCCGTGTAGTCAACGCCTAAGTTGACAGCGCTCGACGTAACATTACCTCCAGGGAGGAGAGGGAGGAGGAGGCGGAGGAGGAGGAGGAGGAAAAGGAGGAGATGGAGGAGGAGGGGGAGGAGGAGGAGGAGGAGGAGGAGGAGGAGGAGGAGGAGGTGGGAGGGGAGGAGGAAAGGAGGAGGAGGAGGAGGAGGAGGAGGAGGAGAGGAGGAGGAGGAGGAGGAGGAGGAGGAGGAGGAGGGGAGGGGATTTGAGAATGTGTGTGGGGTGGGTGGGTGGGCGGGGGTGGGGTGGGGGGTGGGCGAGCAGGAGAATGAAGGAGGAGGAGGACGACGAGGAGGAGGATGGGATGACGAGGAGGAGGAGGAGGCAACGGAGGAGGAGGAGGCGGAGGAGGAGGAGGGGGAGCGGGAGGAGGAAGCGATGTGGCTGAGGGTGAGCTTGAGGTTGAGGATGAGGATGGTGCGGATGATAAGGATGATTCCGACGACGATGCTGGTGCTGATGCTGTTGTTGATGAGGATGATGCTGTTGATGATGATGCTGATGCTGATGATGCTGCTGGTGATGCTGATGATGCTGACGTTGCTGATGATGCCGATGGTGCTGATGCTGATGCTGATGATGACGTTACTGATAATTCTGCTGGTGATGATGCTGATGATGTCGATGTTGATGATGTTGATGATGCTGATAGTGACGACGATGACGATGCTGCTGCTGCTGCTGATGATGATGATGATGATGATGATGATGATGCTTATTATGATGATACTGACCATAATGATGCTGATGTTGGTGATGACGACGCTGATGACGATGCTGATGACGGTGATGATGCCGATGCTGCTGATGATGATGATGTTGAT